AAGACGAATATTCTGCCTAGATCAATAAAATTCGGCTCTGTCTATATTCAATTACATTATTTCATTGTTATTAACTTTTTTTTCTCTTCAGTGTTAAGAAGTGATTGATTTATTCGAAGGTGTTTTCTTCTTTACAGTATTTGCCGAAAGCAAAAAAAAAAATGGTGGTTTCTTTAGAAACTCATTTACTCTGATAGAACGATTGCTTAAATACATGATATATCGCTTTTCTTAAATATATTTTATTGTTCTGAATAGGTCTTGTGAATTAGTCCATTCAAACTGTCTCTTATTATCTCAAAAAAATAAAAAAATAAAAGTTCATTCTTTTTTTTAAGAAAAATTGAAATGCTTCAAAATTTAAAATAATTTAAGCCGCCTGTAAACCGCTTCGACTGGCGCAAAAAAAAAAGAAAATATTCAGCTCGTTCAAACATACAATAACTTCATGTTCGTCTGCCCTATTTGTTTAAAATTTGAACTTATATATTGAGTGTTAAAGGTGCTGTTTCATTTTGATAAGATTTCAAAAGAAAAATTATCCATGTTAACTTTTACCAATTTCTACCATATTGTTTTTTAAAGAACGTTTGAAATATTTTTTATATTAAATTTAATTAAAATAGTTTTGCTTTCAAACTGATAAATTTCAATAATTTTAATATTTCAAGAATAAAAAATAAAAATTATATTTTTAAATAAATACATTGAATGTAAAAAAAAATATTGAAACCATAAAATAATTACTAAATCACCATATATAAAATATATATTGTTTATTTATAGTTTAAATATATCCAGCAAGCATTTCTAGTTCTTCTCCTGATGATGGCCATTTAAAATAAATAAACTAGTCGAGGAAACTAAATGAAATAATAATAAAAAAAAATTCCAAGAATATTAATTTTACAACCCAAGTGTGTCTGAAGATTTTTATTTTTTAATAATTTTTTAATATTTTTTTTATTGTTCAATATATATATATATATATATATATATAATATTTTAATATATATATATATATATATATATATATATATATATATATATATATATATGTATATATATATATATATATATATATATATATATATATATATATATATATATATATATATTTGTGTATTTAGGCAAATCCTTCTTTCATGCACATTTCATTGAATACGACAGACAAGGTGCTTTGATTTCGTTTTTTATACAATTTCTCATGCGATCTAATAATGTTTTTTTTCTTTTCTTTTCGGATGATAAATTATATAAAAAACTGCCCGAATGTTCTTTTTATCCCGGCAATCTTTCGGCTATACATTTAGCCATTTTCAAACAGAAATTAAATAAAATTAACTGCTAAATAAGAAATAGTTTGTTGTATGTATGTTTTATAAAATGTTTTCATTTTTCAAAATACGGTCAAGATATTGTGTCCATGTTCAAAATTAATATTTTTAAGTGTTGCATTTTTTTGTTGTAACGATTCCTCGTGCCACCGGATAAACACTTCCTAAGCCGAGACAATGAAATTACCCCAGTGCAGGTCTGTTTTGAAAATCCACCCGGAATCCTGTTGACACATAAAAATTGCATCCTTAGCTTTTTAATTTGAGTTTTAAGATCGTTTGAAATACATGTAAAGAAATACTTAATTTCCGCAGGTTTTTACTTTCGAACTGACATCAAAATTTTACTATTTCAAGAATAAATCCAAATAAAGTTGATATTTTTCTGTTGAATAAATTGAATGTAAAGAAAATAATATTCAAACCAGAATTCTAATTATGAATCACCACATGTAAAATATGCATTGTTTATATATATATATATATATATATATATATATATATATATATATATATATATATATATAAGATTTGATTATATGCAAAAAGAGGTATTGTCAAATATTTTATGTAAAATTCATAGATATGTGTTATCCAATGAAATAATTTGTACTATTATGTATAGTGAGTAAGCATGAAAGCAATTAAGTCCCAAAATTCAATTTCAGATTGATATTTAGTATTTTTCAGTAATTATAGCAATTTGCAGTGTCAAGAGATTATTTGCAAGAATTAGAATTTAGTATTATGGCTCGTAAAAAAGAACTACCAATGAATGAAAAGAACTATATAATCAAAGAAATTAGCAAAGGAAAATCTTTGCTTCAAATTTCTAAGGATTTGAAAAGGGATCATCATGATCTTTATGCAAGACAACGCACCAAGTCATGCATCAAAGTTTACTAAATCCTGGAATGAAAGAAAAGGGATTTGTTGAAGATTTTTTTTGGACTGGCCTTCAAATAGCTGTGACTTGAATCCCATTGAGAACCTGTGGAAGCATCCTCAAGAGAAATATTTATTCTAATGGAAGGCAATTCAACAAAAAAACCCCTGGGAAGCAGTTAAAGTTGCTGCAAACAACTAACCATCCGCTAAAATTGCAAATCTAACATCAGATGTTAACAATAGGCTGCTAAGAGTTATTGAAAAGAAAGGAGCATTTGACAATAAATTTTAGGAGGTTCTTATTATTTTTTTGTTAATATATCTTTTATTTTTAAAATAAAATGTTTTTTTATGTTTTTCCTTTAAGAAATTGACGAATTTGTTCTAAAATCTTTTCATATTATTTTTTACATTAGTTTTACAAGGTATAATAATGTAAAAAAGATCAAAATAAATAGTTGCAAATAAACTACTGACAGTCAAATTAGTCTGTTTTGTTAACTTAGACAAAAATTTTTTTCCAACCAAAAAAATAGCTTTCTCTATCACTATATATCTAAGTTAATAATATTGTGTAGAATCTAAACAACATCATAGAACTTTTAACATTAAAGACGCAATTCTTTATACCAATAACTAACAGCATAAAATCTCTAGACGCAGTTTATATATATATATATATATATATATATATATATATATATATATATATATATATATACGCCCTTTGATAAAATATATATATATATACACGCCCTTTAAAAAAAAAAATTGAAATAATTTATTACATGGAACCTTAAAGTGGTCTGTCTTTATTTAATATATATATATATTGATTCCCCAAAAAATTTCGCTTGAAGATGGAACAGAGCTTACTTTAATTCAATTTAATTCAAATAATTATATTGAAGTTTTAGACTCTTGTTTTGAAACATGAGACCTCTTATGTAGCTTGTTGGAATCATATTTTTTAAATAAATAATTTTATATATATATATATATATATATATATATATATATATATATATATATATTTCATTGCATATATATATATATATATATATATATATATATATATATATATATATATATATATATATATATATATATATATATATATATATATTAGTTTATTATGAAAAACTAAAGTAATCCGTATGGGTAAAACTAAAAGGATAAAATCCAGAGAGTTCAATGTAAATTCAGAGCAAATAATTTAAATAAATTTTTTTCATTTTTGTAAATGTAAATTCAGAGCAAATAATTTAAATAAATTCTTTTCATCTTTTGCTTTGAAATAAAGGGGGCAATATGATCCGCAGTCCTTTTAAAAGGACTGTGGTGAAATAATTTATTACATGGAATCTTAAAGTGGTCTCTTTTTATTTTATATATATATATATATATATATATATATATATATATATATATATATATATATATATATATATATGTCACGCATTAATTCTGTTGAATTGAAAAACAATATCAAACCATGAGGATGTATTTACCGATACTTTCAAAAATGACGATGCTTATGGAACTATATTTTTCCCGATATTATTTCCTTCTCTAGTAAACGAGAGGGGGGTCAGTTTAATACTTATTACCAACAGAAAACAGATCCCCCACTTCATGTTCAGTAGACACATAACGATATTAGTTTAAGACGTCAAAAATGATGACATATTTTGTCTGTATTAATTCTTAGATTTTAGAGTTCTCAAGTTATTACCTTATTATGTAGAGATTGAGAAGCCATCAGTTCATTATAGCATACCAATGGAAAACAAACTCCCACTTCATTAGTTTAAAAAATATCATGAATAACGATGGCATATTTTGTTAAGTCTTTACTATTCTTACATTTTCACATTTAAATAAATGGTGAATCGGCAATATTATCGATCCTGACCTGGCATCTCGGCTCCCGTGATTTTATCACCGGCGTAATGCAACTACCCTTTTCTATAAATACTTTCCAGATGTTATTTCATTATCTACAAAACATGGGAGGGATCAGTCTAATACTTATTAACAACAAGAAATAGATCCCCCACTTCATATTCTGTAGAAATTTTATGCAAAAATAATGGTTTTGGGACAAGATTCCACGACAAAATTTTCAACGAATGCTTTTGGACAATATTCCACCTAAAAATTTCCCAAATCTTATTTTGGATAAAATTCCACCACAAAATTCCCAAAGAATGCTTTTGGACAATATTCCACCTGAAAATTGACAAAAACTTATTTTGGATAAGATTCCACCAAAAAATTCCAGAAGAATACTTTTGGACAATATTTTACTATGGAATATTTTACAAAGGTATTCTTTGAGAATTTGCAGCGGAATATTGTCCAAAGGCATTCTCTTGGAAATTTTATGATGGAACATTGTCCAAAAACAGTTGACTCCAACATCCGTTCGAAAAAAAAATCTGTCCGATCAATCTAAGTAAATGAACGCCGCAAAACCTTTCCGAAAAGAGTCGGTCATTTGCCTTGTACAATTCAATTCTTTCTCTAATCTCTATTTACTTAACATATTTTTAAATTTACTACAATAAAAATATATATTCATGTGTAAATTATTATCGTTCGTATCCAATATACATTGAACGCCCAAACCTGTTTTGTTTTGTGGAGAAACCTAGGGCAAGTTTTCGCACTACCGAGCCTGAAGTTCAAAGGGTAGATCTACTCAAATAGCGTTAAAAATAATCAGAAAACGGTAAAGAAGGAGGTTGATGGGAAAGAAAAAATCCATCACGTTTAAGCAAACGCGTCGATAGATAGATAGATAGATAGATAGATAGATAGATAGATAGATAGATATGAAGAGAATGAGATAGATAGATTTAAAGAAACTCAGATAGATAGATAGATAGATAGATAGATAGATAGATATGAAGAGAATGAGATAGATAGATAGATAGATAGATAGATTTTAGAGATAGATAGAAATAGATATGAAGATATGAAGAGGATGAGATAGATAGATTCAAAAGAAAACTCGATAGATAGATGAATAGATAGATAGATAGATAGATAATAGATAGATAATGAATAGATAGATAATGAGATAGATAGATAGATAGATAGATAGATAGATGATAGATAGATAGATATGAAGATATAATTGAAAATGAGATATATTTTTAAAAGAAACGCAGAAGTAGATAGATAGATATTAGATAGATAGATAGATAGATAGATATGAAAAAATTGATATTTAAATATATAGATAGATAGATAGATAGATAGATAGATAGATAGATAGATAGATATGAAGAGAATGAGATATATAGATTTAAATTAACTCAGTAGATAGATAGATAAATATAGATATAGATAGATAGATAGATAGATAATATAGTAAGATATATTAGATAGATAGATTTAAAAAAACTCAGTAGAATAAATAAATAGATATATATATAGATAGATAGATAGATAGATAGATATGAAGAAAATGAGATAGATAGATTTAAAGAAACTCAGATAGATAGATAGATAGATAGATAGATAGATAGATATGATAGATATGAATAAAATGAGAAAGATATATGATAGATAGATAATATATATAGATATAGATAAAATGAAAAAAAAAATGAGATCATAGATAGATAGATAAATAGATAGATAGATAGAACATAGATAGATATGATGAAGAGAATGAGATAATAGATTTAAAGAAACTCATTTTATAGATAGATAGATAGATAGATAGATAGATAGATAGATAGATAGATTTAAAGAAACTCAGATAGATAGATAGATAATGTACACGCTCACATGAGTAATATACACACTCAGAGAGATACATACATATTTACATACCCAGATAGATAAAATAAACATACACTTTTTAATTAGATATGTACACACTCAGATAGCAAACACGTCTATAGATAGATAGATAGATAGATAGATAGATAGATAGATAGATAGATAGATAGATAGATAGATATTTACACGCTCACATAAATAATATATACACTCAGATAGATATGTATACACTCAGATAGATAGATAGATAGATAGATAGATAGATATGTACACGCTCACATAGGTAATATACACACTCAGAGAGATACATACATATTTACATGCCCGGATAGATATGTACACGCTTACATAGATATGCACACTCAGATAGATATGTATACACTCAGATAGATAGATAGATAGATATTTACACGCTCACATAGATAATATACACACTCAGATAGATATGTATACACTCAGATAGATAGATAGATAGATAGATAGATCTCAATATTACCGATAACACGAAACTTAATCACTCACTTTTAATTCAATTTTTTTTTCAACGCCGTACTTTGTCAGTATTTGTAGACCTGGACGGGTAAGTAACCACGGGCCCCTGATTCAACCCATTGACCTTACATTCTAGTCTGCAATGTATGGAAGTCCCCATTTATATTTAGAGGAGACACCGCCAATAATTCGCTGAAAATCAGCATACCATGACGAAGAAAGGCCTCGAATTTAATAAAACAGTTTTATCGTCAAAATATGTGTGTTATTATTAAAAGAGAAGACTAAAGTATTTGCACGTTCGAAATTTTGGTTAAAAATCTTTTTTTTATTTTTTCGTCAGCGGTTGACTTAATTTTGGCACGTTTCAGCGCCTTTTTCCGGTGAAAAAGACATTTTGGAAATTCTTGCAAAAATCAAATAATTGTCGGATTTTAATGAAACTTTCAGGACTTATTTACAAATGAATGAAATTATTTGTGATTTTTTTGTTTTGAGAAAATCTTGGCAAAATGATTTTTTACATATTTTATACCCCACTTATTTATTTTCATGAACTTTTGTGATATTCAATTTTAATCGAAAATTTTTTTTAGTTAAAAGCAGGACTCCATGGAGAATGGAAATATATAATTTTTTTTTCAAACTACTTCTAATTCCCCGAAAATCTGCTCTGAATCGTAAAATAAAAAATGAATTAAAACTATGACATTATTTTATTAGAAAAGCTTTTAATTGCTTTTATAAATAAGATTTATTAAGGACACTATTGTCTTAAGAAAAATATTCAATTAATAATGAATTTTTTTAAGAATCGTTTTTAATTTTTTAAATTTTAATTATAATAATTTATTTATTAAATAATTTTATATATATATATATATATATATATATATATATAAATATATTTATATATATATAAATCAAAAAAAATCCAAATTACTTTAATCGCGTTAAAAGAATTTTATAAATGGAAAACTATATTTTAATAATTTTTTTACTTTTGTATATATAAATATAACATGAACATTTTTTAAAATATGGTGGACTATACACGACATTATCAGGAAATAAGTGTAATGACTATAGTAAATTTAAAGTCAACATTCCTAAAATTAGATTACAGAAAATATTTTCCAGCATTTTTAAATGAGTACTTAAAAATTATATAAAAAGGCGATCATTCGTCATTTTCTTAAATTATGTTTTAACAGATAAAGTCTCCGTAGAACAACAATAAAGGCGTTAAAAACTTTATCGACAGATTTCATTGTTTGTCAACCATGTAAACATGACTACTGCTTGTTTTAAAAAGGTATTCCTGAGTTATTTTAAACTTAAAGTATTTTTTTTCAAATCACATTAATTATACTTTAAATCAGTTAATATTCCTCAAATAAAATTTCAAAAAAATATATTTTATTTTTGGAAGATTTTTTTTAATATAAAAATTAATTGTTTTAAATAACTAAAAAAAAAATCTTAAAAATAATTTTAGAAAGAAAAAGAGAATTATCTCCAGTCAATTTAAATTAGTTTTAAATTTTGTTTAAAATACAATTGAAATTAAAACAAAAAAAATTCCAACTTTAAAAAAAGGTATTTTTAAATTCAATTTAAACCTTTTTTCAAAATTGGTGGAGGCCCCTAAGATACATTATATATATATATATATATATATATATATATATATATATTTATAATTGTATGTGTGTGTGTGTGTGTGTGAAAAGTAAATAAATATAAATAAATATATATATTCATAATTAAAGTTTTCATATTATATTATTATTTATTAGAAAGCGCTCAATATCTTTAGATCAGAAAAATTTTTATTTTTTACTGATTTAAAAATTTGAAATTATATATTTTATAAATATATATAAATCCAACATAATTTATATATATTTATATATATATATATATATATATATATATATATATATATTTATTGGGCATTATATAAAAATATTTTTGCTAATTTTTGTGCATATCTGGCATTTTTTTTTTTTCCCACATGTAAACATTATTTATAAACTATATCTGTTATCCATTTTTAATGATGGGACAAAAAAACAAAACAGTAGATCAATGACGGACCTCCACCATTTTTAAAATAGGCCCATATTATATATTTGGATAATATATATATTTTATATAAGGACCGTAATTATAATCACTAAATTATTTTTTCCTCCAAATATTTAAAAAAAGTGTATTTTATAATTGATTTCATCATTTTCAGGGGAAAATTCTTATCATCATCCATCATTTTAACGATCACTTAATTTTGCTTTTGGTAATAAAAGTTTACAAAATTTGATGGAAAATATAAATTCTTTTTCCCCCTATCGTTGAAATTTGACGTTTTACTGTTTCAATCTGAGAGAGAAATACATAAATTTATACCGTATAAATATTAGCTGCCCATAAAAGCGAAAAATAGCATTTAATGGAGTTTTTTTATTTTATTTTTTAAATGGAAGATGGATTGATATTTAATAATTTTTAATATTGTTGATATTTTCCCTATTTTTGCCTTGTAATCAAATGAAAACATCAATAAATTGAAATATTGAAAATTAAAACTAAAATCAATTCGTATTGTATGTTTTTAAATCATCAAAATTTTTTGCTATTGGTCAATATTTTAATATTGATATAAATTCAACGTAATAATATTATTTCAAGGTAATTATTAATTTTTTTTAGCAATAAAAAAGTTTTTTATCTTTTTTTTTATTCTAATTAAAATTTTTTAAAACTTCAAAGAATTTTTCATCACTAAAATATTTTAACAAAGATCATTGGTTTTATTAATTTTGTTATACTTAAACATTCTAATTCTAAATAAATAAAAATTTGGTTTTTAAAAAATTATTATATATTTTGGTGGAGGTAAAATTAAATTTGGTTTCATAAAAATTATCAAAACTTTTTTATTTATATAATTTAAAATAAAAACACTTGATGAAATCATACGATTTTACAATTTCGTTTAATAATCAATTTGTATTTAATGGTTTTAAAAACTTGTTAAATTCATAAAAAGAAAAAAAATTTCTCCCCAAAGATCTAAACGTGTTCGTTTCGTTTTTACATATTCAAAAAATTTTCCTTGAAAAAAAAAATTTAATTCTCTTTTTTTTTATTTTGGTTTACCATTTTCATATAAATAAATTATATAAAATTTATTTAAATTTTTTTTAAATGGTAAGAAATAAAAAATTTTTCCAATTTTATATAAATTCCCTTTTGAAAATTCCATAAAATTTTTTTAAAAAATATCATTATCTTATTCATTAAATTTTTTTCATTTGTGTAGATCTTCACTGAAATTATGTCCTAAATTATTATTCATATCTAATTAATAAAAAATTTTTTTATTCTGTTTACTTAAATCATTGAAATTCATGTTAATAAAAAAATTAATTCATTTTATTTTCTAACTTTCATTTATTTCAAAAATATGTCTATAAATCATATAATATATATATTATTAGATCTAATGTAAATTAATGCCTAATTTGAATGTTATGTGTGTGTATCAATTCCTTTGAAAACCTTTAGATTAATTTTTTTTTCCTTTTTAACATTTTTTTAACACAAATAAATGAAACCCTTTTATACATTGATATTTATGTAATCCTAAATTGAAAAATTCTTTAAATAACTCCAATATATAAAATTATCAATGAATATTATAAAATTTGTATGATTAAAATTCAAAATAACAGTATCTGACCATGAACTTATTGATCTAACCACGTAAATAAATTTTTTCTTTTTTATCAAAAATATGTAAATGGTTAAACATTTAAAAATAAAAATTGCATCCTATTTTTTACTTTTATAATAAATAAAATAAAAAAATATTTTTTTAACCTTTAATTCTTTTATTCATTTAAATAATTATTAATTAATGAAAATTTTAAATATGAAAATTTTTCAAAAATTCACTTTTAAAATTAAATAAAATTATCCTATATTACATATAAATTTGAATATTTCCGATTTTGGAATTTTGTTTATCAAATGTTGAATTTTTAAAATTTTTAATAATATTAAAAATATTTATTTATATAAGTTAAAAACTTTACTCTAAAAATTTGTTTAAAATTAACCTATTGAATATTATAAAGTTTAATTTTACTTAAATTATTATATAATATTACATATTGACCAATACTTATTTTTTGTTTTATTAAAAAAAAGTTATACTTTTTTTAAAATAAATATTTATAGAAATTTAAAAAAGTTTGTAAAAAAATTATCACAAAATTGTTTTTTTTTATTAAATTAATCATTATTTCCATAAACATTATATTGAATTTTAAAATAAATTTCCGATTAAAATTCAGTTAATTAGAATTATGATTCATTTGAACTTTTTGATCCTTAACGTAAATAGATTTAATAAATATTTAATCAATTTTAAAAAACATTTAATGATATTCAAGAAATAAAATTTCTTAATTTTTGAACATTATACAGTTTAATTTTCTATTTGAATTCAGTTTTTAAATTTATTGTATAAATTTTATTGAATTAACCACGTAAATATTTGTATCAAATAAATATTTTTAAAACAAAAGTCATTTGTGATTCAGAAAATAAAAATAACTTTTTTAAGCTTTCTTTCATTAACTGTGAACATTTCCTGCCAAATTTCAGTTAATTTTTTTACAACCTTTTTATAATGAATCTTTTAAAATTTTATTTTTCCAAATTTTCAAAACACTGGGCGTTCATTAGAATCATTTTTAATTAATCATATATTTTTATTTATAAATTTTAAAAAATATTTTTAAAATCGAAAATTCATCATGAATTTTAATTTCAAAAACATCTTTATGAATACAATGTCTTCTTTTTAATAAATATTTCTTAGCTTCCTGACTTATAAATAATTTTATTTTTAAAAATGTTTTCTTATTTTTCATAAAATTTTTTATTTAAACAAATAAACATGTCAGAACATTTACAAATATAAATTCCAAGAAGCATTTCTTTTATTATTTTATTTCAGAATCAATAACAAAATCTGAAAACAGAAAATTAAATATAAAAAATTGATGTATATATTTATTTAAAATAAACAAAAAATATCTATTGTTTTTGTTAAAAATATTATTCCTTTTTTATATACTATATGTTAAATAATTTTTTTGCCTTGTTTATGATAATTATTTTTAACAACTCTCTGTTTTCTAAGCGAAATAAAAATCAAACCTTTGGTATCTGTGATGTTAAATTTTTATGTTCTTTAAACCAAACCTTCGACTTGATTTTCTTAAATTTTTTTATTGTGCCACGACACAAAAATATAAAATTCTGTGAAAATTTGAGGTTATTTTAAAAAAGAATTTTTTTCTCTTATTGATGTCAAATTTTTTTTTTACTTTTTTTTTTTTAGCATTACGCCCCCAGCAAGGCGAGAAGCCACTAGGATGCGGGGGGTTGCAGAAGATTTGGAGCAAGAGCAGATAGGAGTGGTAGAAGAAAGGATGAGGAGAAGGATAGTGGATAGATTAAGGTAACTGGAGATATCGATTGACATTACATTTGAATAGTTGAAGATTATAGCTCTCAGGGAAACAGTAATTGGGAAGGATGTTCCACATACGAGAGGTGCGAGGTATGAAGCTATTGGAGTAGAAGAGACAGCTACATTTAAAAGTTTCTACAGTGTAAGGGTGAGAGCAGGATGCCAGCCTCGTAGGGCGCTTGAATTCATGAATTCTGGGAACCAGTGAAAGCAGCTCTTCGGAGCAATTACCATGAAAGTATTTGTAAAAAAAGACAAAGAGAGGCGACGGCGCGTCTGTGAAAGAGTGACTGTAGACGAGATGCCAGAGCAGGACCAATTATATTACATATCCGTATCTGGATCTTGTCAAGAACTCTGAGGTAAACAGTAGGTGCCCCAGACCATATATGGCAGCAATACTCCATGCAAGAGCGAATGGTTGATTTGTATATTTGAAGTATTGATTCCGGGGAGAAAAATTTCCTGGCGCGGCACAGAGAGCCAACTTTCCTCGCAGTGGACGAAATACAAGCTGTATTTTGAACGCAATTGTATCCCTTCAACGACAGATAAATTATATATAGTCTATCATTTTGCTATAAAATGTATCGTTTTTAATTCTACGAGGGTCATTCAATAAATAAAGGTGAATTTTTCGATATAAGGACTTCTAATACAGATAGAAGCTTACTTTTTTTTATTTTTCAACGTAGTCTCCCAGCACTTTTCCCATCTGTGCACAAGCTTCCGTATTCCCTCAGCGTAAAAAATCTTTGGACTGATGTCTCAGCCAGTCGCTTACAACACTTTGGAATTCATCGTCACTTTTAAACTTCGTGCCTCTCATGAACGCTTTCAAGGGACCAAACAGGTGAAAATCTGAAGGGGCAAGGTCTGGGCTGTGAGTGGGATGAGGGAGCAGTTCCCAGCCCAGCTTGTTGATGGTCTGCACCGTTTGGGCTGTTGTGTGAGGCCTTGCGTTGTCATGATGCAAAATGACTCCTTTTGACTGATGACCCCTGCGTTTGTTCTTTATGTCTTTCTTGACCTGCCTCAGCAGTTCACAGTAATTCTTCTGTCAGACTGAATGAGGTCATTGACTGATTCAATCACCTCAGGAGACCTCACTTCTGTAGGCCTCCCAGGCCTGTCTTCATCCTCAACACTGATCCGTCCTTCTTTAAACAATTTAGCCCAATTGTAGACATTTTTTTTTATTGAAACATGTGGCACCATACACAGTTGACATTCTCCTATGAATTTCAACTGGTTTGCACCCTTCAGCAACCAAAAACTTGATAACTGACTGCTGTTCAATCCTGGAGCATGCTTCATGGTCGGCCATCTTTGTTAATCGCCAAAACTCTCAAAGTTTTTTTTTTTTTTTAATCTGCAAAAGAAATTAAATCCATGTGAAAAATAAGTAAAACAATTTAAAAAAAAAAAAAGTAAGCTTCTATCTGTATTAGAAGTCCTTATACCGAAAAATTAACCTTATTTATTGAATGGCCCTAGTAGTTAAGACAGAAGAAGACCGTCCTTTCCCCAATCCCCACTTCGGCTATGCGGCTTATTTCTGTATTAAACAGAATAAATATCTATATCTATATCTTATTTATTGAATGACCCTCGTACAAAAATGTATAGCTGGTCATTTTTGCTTTGAAAAAAAAGTATTTTTCCGAATTAATTTTACCATAAATAAGCATTTTGGGGTTATATATATATATATATATATATATATATATATATATATATATATATATATATATATATATATATATATTTAAATAGGTTTGAAAAATACAAAAGCGTATTAAGGCATTAAAAACTAGAAATGTAGTATTGTTTAGGCCAAAATAAGTTTAA